ACATGTAATATTTCTGTAAATAATATTGTAATTTTTAGGAATTAAATTGTTGTTAAGTGAGAATTATGAGAATTAAATTTTTTGTAAGTGTTTCGGGCGGGCGGTTTGGGTGCGGGTATGAAAATATTTTTTGCTTTCGGGTACGGATAAAATTTTGAACTTTTGACCGTGGGCGGATCGGGCCGGGTGCAAAAAAGTCGTCCCTTGCGCACCTCTAATTCATAGCTCAGGCCCATAACTGTATACATATAGCTCATATAACCAACAGCCAATTCGATAGGCGCAACTTTGCATAGCTACGGCGTTCATTCGTAATCAGATACTGATTGAAATCGCATAATGTAAACACTGGGCTATCATAGCAACTGTCATTCATATGCTTTTTGTTTTTCCACCTCTTTTGTTTACAAATATATACAACTGTGCGTGTGTGTGTGTGTGTGTGTGTGAAACCATATTTATAAAAACAATAAGAGTTGTATATACAGTGGGTCTTATAGCTTGCATAACTCTATGGGCCTGCTATAACCATATCAAATAGATCTTTTGTTGAAAACCGTCAAGAAAGCTTAGACCAATTAGAGAGCAATATGCTCTGCATATACATATAGACAGGGGGCATTACGTAGCTTCATATATAGCAGCTGTTACTATATATATTAAGTTTTGCCTCTGTTAAATACAACCCCATGTGACCTTCCGACCGTCTGTTCTCCTATATATCATTTAAATCTACAGCCTACACTTTTTATAACTATCGTAGGTTTGACTATAGAGCTAATTTGCGCTATGAACTTCAATGCAAAAACCATATCAAGTTGATATATCTCGTCGATATGCTATATATAACTATAGAAAGTCTTAAGCATTGTTTCTAGATCATATATAGGCTTCGGTGCATACAAATGGTTGTACGCACTTTATCATAAATGTGGCTCTTTATGATATAAACTGATATGCCTGAAATATTAGCTTTATGTTTAAACATAACTTGACATCTGTGTAGTTTCTTAGTCATATAATCGTATTACATTAGCTATTTCATATCGTATTCATTTCCAGAACTGTGTAAACTTCTCGAGCTTATTTATCGAACTGCAGCTAATATGATGCGATATTTCAGAGTTATAAAGAACCTATTAAGATATAATTAAGTAAATATCGTCTTACTTTTGCTCAATGTAAACCATAAAGTCTCAGATATCTGACTCAATTTAGCCACTTTATACTTGATTAGTAGCTAAACATAAATAGATGGATGATATTGTATTAAATGATGGCTTATTGCTTTGCAGGCAGCGGCTCCTTTGGCGACATCTATCTGGGCATGAGCATCCAGAGCGGCGAGGAGGTGGCCATCAAGATGGAGAGCGCTCATGCCCGGCATCCCCAGCTGCTGTACGAGGCGAAACTGTACCGTGTGCTGAGCGGAGGCGTTGGATTTCCGCGAATCCGTCATCATGGCAAGGAAAAGAACTTTTACACTTTGGTCATGGATCTGCTCGGGCCATCGCTGGAGGATCTGTTCAACTTTTGCACGCGCCACTTTACCATTAAGACCGTACTGATGCTGGTCGACCAGATGATCGGCCGTCTAGAGTATATACATCTCAAGTGTTTCATCCATCGCGACATCAAGCCGGACAACTTTCTGATGGGCATCGGACGGCATTGCAACAAGCTGTTCCTCATTGACTTTGGCCTGGCCAAGAAATATCGCGACGCCCACAGTCGCCTGCATATATCGTATCGCGAGGAGAAGAACCTAACGGGCACAGCCCGCTATGCCTCGATCAATGCCCATTTGGGCATCGAGCAGTCCCGTCGCGACGACATGGAGTCGCTTGGCTATGTGATGATGTACTTCAATCGGGGCGTGCTGCCCTGGCAGGGCATGAAGGCCAACAATAAGCAGCAGAAATATGATAAAATCTCTGAGAAAAAGATGTCCACGCCCATCGAGGTGCTCTGCAAGGGCTCACCGGCCGAGTTCTCCATGTACTTGAACTATTGTCGTAGCTTGCGTTTCGATGAACAGCCCGACTACATGTACCTACGTCAATTGTTCCGGTTAGTTGCCAGCCGTACGGCTTCCTTTAGCTGTCTCGATGTCTGCTTAAGCTCGACTCTACGCGAGGAGATGTGAGAGCGAGACTATTCGCTTGGCTTGGAGTCAGATTATATAGACATGAATAGTAATCTAGTTTAAGATTTGATTGACTCAAGCGATCAGCTTAGTTCAATGGCTTTTCAAGTATTGTAGTATTGGGGATTCTAGGGAGCGTTAAGAATACTATGAGAACAGAGTGAAATGGCTCAGACAAAAGCTGACAATGCTGACAAAGAAAACGATATGATATGATAGATACGAAAATAGTTAAGCTATGAGTGGCTAAGAGTAGAAATAGGTGGGATTGTAAGATAAGTACGTGATAGATGAATGCACCAATAAAGAGATATATAAAATAGCAGAAGATGGTAGAAAGATTCATGAATATGAACGGATAAGCTATCAGTGATGGATAAAGAATAGACGATAGGTAGAATGTTAAGGAAGTGTATCTATGGATAGACCAGGATAAAGTCAGGGAAATATCTTAATATATATGGGTAGCCCAGAACATTGGGATGTGTGGATATATATTGAGAGATATAGATATAGATATAGATATATTTATGGATAGAAATTAAGTAATGTATGTAGCATATATTAACGGTTAGATATAATGTATATAGATACACAGAGATGTAGGTAAATAGTTATCTATACATCGATCGATCGCTATACAACAACAAATTTCTAATGCTTCTTTTCGTTCTCCTTTCTCTTGATGATACGCTTAGCATTTTGTTCCGAACGCTGAACCATCAGTATGACTACATCTATGACTGGACAATGCTGAAGCAGAAGACCCACCAGGGTCAGCCGAATCCCGCCTTGATGCTGGAACAGTTGGAGCCACGCAACGATCGCGATAAGGAGAAAGAGAAACCGAACTGCAAACCTCCCATCACCGAGTAATTCAGCTGAAAGGCAGATAAATAATAATAATAATAATAATAATGCAAATGCAAATGCAAATGGAAATACAAATAAAGCAAATAATTGAGTGGCAAGCGTTAAAAACAAACAGCAGCAGAATGAATAACACAAAATGAATTGAAATTGAAATTGAAATTGAAATGGAGTAAACAAATAAGCATAAAGATGAAATGAAAGATGTGGAACGGAAGAGGAGACGTATGCGGAAGCGGAAGCTAGGATGTTTCTTATTATTAATTTAAATTCAATACTAAACATTTAAGACGATGACGAAAACAAAACAAACATTAAGATGAAAGATATATTTAAATGGATTTCACACTCACACACACACATATACACACACGCCAATTTTCATATATATAAATACACACACCCACACACACACACTTACACAAAAGAGCAAAACACTTAGCCTAATAAAAGCAAAAACAAAACTATATATATG